TATGGAAAGATTGTGGACATATAGCATCATTGTGAATAGTGGTGAAATTATTAAAAGTATAGTGTAGCTAGTGCTTGTTTGGGTTATTCGTAAAATATTTCAGCCCTAAAATGGCTACTAAAAAACGTAAAGTGGATTCCGAGTGCCGTGCTTTTAATGATGAATGGACTTGGAAATATTTTTTTTATACAGTTGGAAAAGATAAACCAGTGTGTCTCATTTGCAATGAAGCTGTAGCAGTCTTCAAAGAATATAACATTTCCCGTCGTTTCACATCTCAGCATAAGAATTTCAATTACGAAGCAATGTCCGAATATGAAAGAAAACAAAATGCAGAAGGTCTTTGTAAAAAATTATTAGGCCAACAAAATTTTTCTAGAAGATAAACAGTATCCAAGAGGCAGCTAAACATGCAAGTTACATTATAACGTACAATATTGCTAAAAATAATAAAGCTTTCAGTGGAGTTCATTAAACAATGCATGCTCCAAGTCTGTGATGTTTTATGTCCAGGCAAGAAAAATAATTTGAGACTGTAAGCTTATCTCGAAAAATGGTAACTTCATCGTTAAAAATTTAACATCACAATTGGGGTCAAAGATTGGTTAGTTTAAATTTTGCTCTATAGCTATGGATGAAAGCACTAATATAAATGATACTGCTCAATTAGTATTTTTTACAAGAGGTGTTGATGAGAACTTTGAAATTACCGAGGAACTGGCGTGCATGCATTCTTTAAAGGGAACTACAATGGGATGTGATATTTTTCGTGAATTTCAGGAAGGGCTTTTAACTTTGAAAGTGCCTATAACAAATATATGTAATATTATGACCGATGAAGCACCAAATATGACAGGGAAAAAATCTGCATTTCTTGGCCTCTTTAATCAAAAACTATCCCGGGAACAATGTTGTTTTTCTATATTGTGTTATACATTAAGATGCTCTGTGTAAATCTGCATTGAATATGAATGATACAGTTGTGAAGTTTGTATATACTATTCGATCTCGTGAGCTCACAGGCAGTTTCGAGATTTTCTTCAGTCCGGTGCAATCTGAATACTCTGATGTACTGTATTACACGAAAGTAAGGTGGGTTAATACAGGATGTATTTTCGAGTGAGTTTGGCAGCTAAAAGACGACATTGTGTCGTTCTTCCATGAGAAACAATGTTCTCCAGAATGCGAAATGTTATAAGATGCAGAATGGCCTTCGGACTTTGCATTTTTCGCAGATCTTCTTTGTCATATGAGCAACTTGAATGTCAAGATGCAAAGGAAAAATCAATTTATCGATGATATCTGGGCCCACCTCAACTTTTTAAACTAAAACTTAATCTGTTTGCTGGGCAGCTAGCTAAGAACAACTTGTCTCATTTCTCGAGGTTAAATTCACTACCCTCAGTAAATGAAGAGAAGCAAGATTTCAGATTTCAGAACAAATTTCAAACAGAATTGGATATTTTTACCATGCCTTTCAACGTAAATTGTGAAGCAGTGAGGTCAGATTTGCAGCTTGAATTGAGTTGCAATCTAACAATCATCTCAAGCAGTTGTGTGTAAATATGCCAAAGTTAGAGTTTTACAAATCATTATCGAAAGCAAGTTTCCCAAATTTAACCGCTTGCCTGATCGGAGTTATCTCGGGTTCGTACATATTGCAGTTAATTATTATCGCGGGAAAACTCTGGTGAAGCAGAATTTGTCAGTACGATTTGTTTTATCTCGGTTTTACTCGGCGTGGAGAAAATGAAAGGAAATATTCAATTTTGGCACAAGTTTTGTTGGTTTCGCGGTTCTTTTGGCGGGACTGGTCACCTGTTTTCCCTGTTGCATAGTACACATCGGCTTGTGGATTAATAATTCGTAAAGAAGGATAATTGCATTGAAAAAAAGTAAAATAAGAATTTTCTGCCACATCAGGATGACCTAGCATAGTCATTTACCACTCAGGTTAACCTAAAGGCATTTTCCAGATGTTATTCATGCTATTGAAAAAAAAAATCGGTACTCTTCTGTTTTGAGGGTAGTAAAAAAATTTCAGCGAAAATGTATGCACAAAAGCGCCAAATCTAGCGTACGCGCTGGTTTCAGATTGCGTAAGTTTATATAGTTCTATATTTCTTAAGACGCTATTGAAGTACTAGTTTAATTTTTATACCCTTTTTTGATAACCTATGGATTTAACAATTTGGGAATTGCGCATGATGAAAAGTCGGCAATAGAATTTTGGGTAAAGTGCAGAATCACTCACTGCTTGACGCGTTTTTAAGAAATGCACATACTCGGTATCCATGTGCACATCGACCTATTTCACTTAAAAAAATCCCAGAATTGCACAAAAATGGCACTGCGCACCCCTCTTGACTTTATCTATGTACATCGATATTTTCATTCAAAAAAGTAAATAAAATTGACAAAAATCCAATTGTTTTTTACCCTTGTAAAAAGCGGCAAACAAATAAGTGAGCGATTCTGCACTTCTGAATTCCGATTCTGAACATTTTCAAAGAAAAGGCATCATTCATTATAGAAAATTACATTTGAACAACCAACGAGATGAAATTATGCTTTAGCGATAAGTCGCTAGCGAAATAGCGATACAGGCATCCATTCAGTTATGTTTAGCAATTTTTATATAAATTATAATAATGATCTGAAATAGTTATTTACTCTTATGCTTCCATTCAGTCATGTTTAGCCTTTTTCATATAAATTATAATAATAAAAAAGTATTATATGAAATTAACCTTTCATCTAAATTAAAGCATCAATCTTGGATAGTTATTTACTATTATACTTCCTTTCTTGCCGCAATTATTTTTGGCAGCATTGGCATCAACAATAGTTTGGCGAGTTTTTACGGCCCTCGAAACCGAATTGTACCAAAAAATCAAATCCAACGAGACAGTGTACTTTGTGCTCCCGTAAAAGAGATTCCAGAGGTAAGCCAGTAAGAAAAGAGATCAGATACCATTGTACAGAATGTCAGGTCATTTTGTGTTGTCCTTTGTTTCAAAAACTATCATACAAAGATTAATATTTAACTTTTTTCATTTGCCTGAGATAACTCAAGATAGTAAACTAATATCAAAACTAAATATTTTTACACCTGTAAAATATTAAAAATTCAAATTAAAAACTTACATATTTTGTTTTGCTTTGTTTCCTGGTATTTAATAATAAAATTTTAAAAAGTGATTCTTTTTTGCAATTTTTTTTCAAAAACATTTGAAAGGGAAGCGGCCAGAAAATCATGCCCAGAAAATCAGCGCTATGTTTGCTTCATCTTATATATGTGAACAAGTGTTTTCAGCTATGAACCTTAGAAATAATTATTTCAGAACTAGACTGACAGATGAGCATTTAGCCTTGTTCCTTAGAATCAGTACACCTCACTTCGAAACTCAATACAGTCAAAAGTCGTTAATCCGGACTCGTCGGGACTTCGACGATTCCGGATTATCGATTTTTCCGGATTATACATCATCAGTTTAAATATGGTAAGATGGCATGCAGAAATTACAAAATTAAAAATATGAAACCGTAATTTATGAAATAAAGAACAATTATGATCTAAAGGGTATCAAAATTTACTAAAAGAAAAAGCTTAATATTTATTTGTTTACTTTATTAAACATTTCTTTGAATGTAAGTTGTTTAAGTTGCTTCGTTTTATGTGATAATACTTTCTCTTTAATTCTATAAACAGACATAATTTCTTGTTCAGTTACAAAGTTCCGCTGTTCAAGTCCCGTTATTGCTGTGCCGAGAATACCGACTAACTTGTCAATCGAAATTTTTTCGTTTTCACTAACCTCTCTGTCACATTCTTCATGTCTTTATCCATTTTTTGCAGCAATTCCACTTTTTGTTTGTTGGACATCGAAACATACTTTCGTTTGTAGATCCTTTGGAAGTTCCAGCATCGGAAATTCTATTTGACATAATCGAAAGTTCAAGTTTACTTTTATAAAATTGCTCTTACAGTCTGCAAAAAATAATAAGCGGGATCCAATTCGAAGATTAAGGAACAACGCAATCATTAACATTAACTGAAATAGATAATTAGATAATTTTAGCTTACACCGTCCGTTATACATTAAACGCGCAGGCGAAAACGTATTCTGCACTTGCGCATACGCATATGCGCAGTAGTCAAGGTCTTACGCGCACGTGTAAACGCCTATGCGCATGCGTCAACGCGACGCATGCGGAAAAAGTTTGTAGCTTTAAGGTCCGGATTATAGATCATTCCGGATTATGGGTGTCCGAATTAACGACTTTTGACTGTATAAGGAACGTTTAAAAATGAAATTGCAATTGCATTCATCTCATTAACATATTTAAATTGTAATACTTGTATATTCGTTTTAAAATTTGAGAACAATGTATCTTGGCCCTCCAAAGTTATTATTATTATTTTTTTTTTTTTTTCGAATTTTGGCCCGCGACCGAAAACGTTTGCCCACCCCTGGGCTAGCCCCTTACTACGGCTATACTAAGTAGTTCCCAGATTGTTTATAATGTTTGTTTATAATGTAAATAGTGTAAGGCCATGATCCTGCTTGTTTCTAAACAAGCAAGCAGCAATATCTTAAAAATCTTTTATCTTTGTATATCTTAAAAAGTATTTTTTATAAATGTATACATTATATATTCATAATAAGATCAAAGAATTAATAATACCCATAAAAGCAGTGTTAATGCCAACTCGATTTGAACTGCACATTGCTGGTTTAAAGTTGATTGCATTGCCAACAAAGTTGTTGGTGTATGCAGCAAGTGGAAGAATTGAAATAAAATGAAATATTACTCAAATTTTATACTTGATGTTCTAACTGTGCACTATAACACTTGCATATTTGGTAAGGTCTTGTGTAATTATGACTGAGTAAAATCAGCTCATTAAGTGTAAGTCTAAATGACAGATATTTATTTATTTTTTTATTATGTATTTTTAATACATGAGTAATAGACTTTTTTTTTTTTTTTTCCAGAAAATGTCTCTAAAGGAATTTCATTTGAAAAATTACTCGATGGCATACGAGACTCTCAGTCAACTAAGGATCATTTTCAACTGCATTTTCTAAAGAGGAAAGATATCCGTAACATCAAAAATGCTTATAATTGTAAAGCATATAACAGTGAGTTAAATGATGCTGAAAGTGTTGACCATTGGGTTCATCTTTGTCACCAAATACAAAATTCTCCCATCCTAGCATACAGACACAAAGATTTTATTAATGGAGTTGCAACACAAGATGAATTTTTGCTGGTTATTATGACAGAATTCCAAAAACATATACTTCTTACTTCAAGTAAAAAAGTAGTCTGTGTGATTTCGCTGTTTCGTAGAAGAGGTGGCCCTTTTTACCTCACTGTGCTTTTCGTCATGGATGAATATGATCTTGCTTTTCCGGCTGCATTTTGCATCAGCAGTAAAGTTGATAAATCTGTAATAACTCAGTTCTTTGATGCCATTAAACAATCTGCTGGACCTTTATCTGCAACTTATTTTATATCAGAGAATATTCCCTTGTTTTATGATACATGGAGAGAAGTGATGAATGATGAAGCAAAATGGCTATGGGGTATGTGGTATGTAGATAGCAGAATCAGGGGGCAACTGAAACTCTTTAAAGGTGATACAGAAAAAAGAAGTGATGTATATAAAACTATGAGAATTCTTCTTGAATGTCAGGATAAAACAGTATTTTCTGTAATGTTTGAAAATTTTCTGGAAAAACTTTTAAATGATTCCCAAACTAAAGATTTAGGCAACTTAATTCAACAATATTTTGGATGTAATCTGGAGAAATGGGCTTGTTGCTATCGCAAGGATATAAATTTAAGTACAGACATTCATTTGGAAATCATGTATCGCATATTGCGATACTGTTGTCGAGAAGGAAAGAAAACAAAACTAAATAAATTTATATTTGTTTTGATGAAATTTGTTCGAGACAAGATGCTGGATCGTTTTTCAAATTCAATTGATGAAGAAAAAATTAATTTAGCCCTTGAAAGTATAAATGCTTGTCACAATTTAGGTTTGGAAATACTCACTAGTGATATATGTGCTGTTTCAGAAAAATTATGGTTAATTCAATCAAAGGAAGAGAATTTTTATGTAAGTCATGAAATGACGACTTGCCTTGAGCACTGCAATTTAAGATGTGAAGAATGTGATATTTGTATACATATGTTCACATGCAATTGTGTTCATAATTTAATTAATGGCAGTCTTTGTCCACATATTCACGCTGTTGTTTGGAACTTGTTAACTCCACATTTTTCATATCCTGTTTTAGACCAAGTTGCTGTAAATGAATCTATGGATGATATTGCAGAAAAAAATACAGAGGACTGTTCTGAACTTTTTGAAAGTGTTCTTAAAAAGACTCATGACTTATACAAAAAGATTCGATCTAATAAGAGCAACTTGAATAAAAAATCATTGAGTTCTCTTCTGAAAGGAATAAATGAATGGATTGATATATGTGGTGGGAAAGTGCCTGAAACCCCAATGCAGTCTCAAGCAACTCAGACTTCAAATCCTAAGTCCACAGTCCTGCTAAATCCAATTTCAGAAAATGGTATTTCACAGCAATTAATAATGCCAAATCAATTTCCAGATGCTTTACCAAATAATGCTTTATTTTCTCAGTATGTAATTTTCCTTCCAAATAATAATATGGCATGACATGTAATAAATTCCTACATACAATTGATTTTTCTGCTATAAATTTTATTATTTCGAATGTGCTTTCTGTTTTCATTATCCCATTGAAAAGCCAAATGTATTGTGCTGAAATTTGTTTTAGAGTACAGTCAAAAGTCGTTAATCCGGACTCGTCGGGACTTCGGCTATTCCGGATTATAGATCATCAGTTTAAATCTGGTAAGATGGCATGCAGAAATTATAAAATTAAAAATATGAAACTGTAATTTATAAATAAAGAACAATTATGATCTAAAGGTATCAAATTTACAAAAAAAAGCTTAATATTTATTTGTTTACTTTATTAAACATTTCTTTCAATGTAAGTTGTTTAAGTTGCTTCGTTTTATGTGATAATACATTCTACTTTAATTCTATAAGCAGATAATTTCTTGTCAGTTACAAACCGCTGTTCAAGTCCTAAATTGCTGTGTCGAGATACCGACTAATTTTCAATCGAATTTTTTCGTTTTTCATAACCTTTGTGTCACTTTCTTCGCTATCGGAGCAAATTATAATGATGAGGAATTGATTTAAATATCAAAGACGGAATATTCAGAAATACTACATTTAGTAAGGAATTATAAGCCAATAAATAAAAACATCTGCCCTGAAGATAAGGATAGTGCTGACAGATCAACTTCCAATTCATTGCGCGCGCCCCGGCATTACAGATAAACAGATTGATAAACAACGTTTAAAAGAAAAAGGATATGCCTTTATCCCTTTTTTGTAGCAATTCCACTTTTGTTTAATGAACTTCGAAACATACTTTCGCTTTGTAGATCATTTACATATTATAATATATATCAAAATTCTATTTGACATAATCGAAAGTTAAAGCTTTTTTATAAAATTGCTCTGTCTGTCTGCAAAAAATAATAAGCCGGATCCAATTCGAAGATTAAGGAACAACGCAATCTGCAACATTACTGAAATTAATTAAATTTTAGCTAGCTTATACCGTCCCGTTATACATTAAACGCGCACTCGTAAACGTATTTTGCGCACGCGCACAGCAAGTCCAGCCGTAAAGCCTTACGCGCATGCGTAAACGAGACGCATGCGCAGAAAGTTTGAAGCTTTGAGGTCCGGATTATAGATCATTCCGGATTATGGGTTTCCGAATTAACGACTTTTGACTGTATACATTATCAGACATCAATTGAAAATTCCATATTTTCATATGGTTTATATTATATAAAGAAAAATGTTTCATAAAATGTATCTTTATTGGAATTCATTTATTTTGATTTCTTTTCCCCCCATTCTGTAAATATTAATGAAATCGTTATATTTTTGTTACATTTCCTGCAAAAATTTCTCCAAAAGAATTACTACATTATATTTTATTGGTATTAGTGAAAAACATAGTGGGTAACCAGAACTTAAGAAAAACTAGCATTTGAAAGCATTCTGAAAAGTACTTGGACATTGTTTAGTATAAAGATTCTAATCTGATTAATGAAGTAAGACAAAATCTTGTTTTATATCAGTACCCCAGAAAAAGAGTGCTTACCATTAGGCAGGGCTGTGGAGTCTGTAGGAAAAATAACTGACTCCGACCCCGACTTTTGGAATTTTAAACTTAAAGAATCCAACTCCCTCATATATGTAAATATATATACATGTGTTACAGCTTATTTTTTTAATATTAAAGAAATAATAGATGCTACAAAAAAGGATGGCATAGCAAATTATTTATATTAATTAGCATTTATAATGGAATGGAAAAACTGGCATTAGTAATTTCTGAAAAACATAGCTTTGGTAAAATCTTCTTTGTTAGAGGACCGTAGATCCTATTTGATAAACTTCAAAGCTGAGAAGAATCTTTCCACACTAACTTTAGTAGAAGGAAGAGCTATTAGTGTTAGGGCTACTTCTTTCAACTTTTCAGCATAGATTTTTATGAATTCTAAAAGATGTGTCTTGCAAGAGCAATCATATTTGTCTATTTCTACAAAGGCTGTGTGGAAATCCTTGTTTGTATTTGATTATTTTTATATCTAAAGGCTCTTGGTTCTTTTATTTGCATTTGCTTTGCCTTAGCCTTTTCAATATTATCCATAATATTTCTCAAAATCTAATTCATCACTGGAAGAAGGGGATAGAGACTCAGTTGCAATGTCTGCAGTTTGTCTGTCCTGATTTGAATACTTGAATTGTTCTGAGAATAATTTCATTCTTAATGAAAGTTCATAGATGGCTTTCTTTGCCTTTTCAATTTGTTCGTCATTCAACAAAATTTAGAGTTTTGGATTTACATATATTAAACCCAGCCAGATCTCATTGTCTAACAAACTAGTTTCTCTTTTATTCATATTTTTCATGAAAAACTGATTCTTTCTGCAATAAGCCCTCCATTTGAGAAAGAACAAATATCATACTTTCCCATTCTCGCCTCCTGTTAATTCTTCAGATTGTAGCTTTTTTTTTTGTGGCTATATACGGTGTAGAAAGAAGAGTTTCCAGTTCTGCAAGATCATTCCTCAGTCTTTCTGGGCCCACCAGCGGCCAAGCGGTAAAGTCGCTGAACACTGGTAGTTCAGTCCGAGGTTCGGATCCCGCGAACAGGCTGACTGCATGGGTGTTTTCGTGGTTTTTCCCATGTGTAGCGTGTATATGAGCTAGTTTCCCTTCACTAAGTCCTCCACGAAGACATCCCTACCCTTAGGCAGATAACCCTAGTGTGCTTTGCCATAATTAAATACACCAACACCAGTCTTTCCGTTAGTGAAACATTAGGGTTATTTACGGATTCGAAAAAAGTTCTTAATTGTGACAACCTCTATGTCATCAAATATGTGGTTTCCCATTGTGTTGCTTGATCAATAATTGCTCCTTTTTCTGCTTGCTTCTAAGATGGCATCATTTGGAGTCTTGTTGCTATTGCTGCTTACCTAATTACCAATGAGATTTGAATAAATGAATCAGTTAATCATAATGGCAAATATCACACCATCTCCTCCTTATATTTATTTATTAATATGTCATAAAATAAAATTACTATTATAATGTATAATTGCATAAATAAAAATACTCAGTTTGCATTAATTTTTTTTTTTTTTTTTATTCACTTTAATTTTATTTCAAATTCAAACTGTCCAACAAAAATTGGAATCGGAGTTGATGTGTTTTTAGCGACTCCAGTTCCAACTCCACAGCTCTGCCATTAGGAAGGTTACTGTTTTCAAATAGAAAAGTAATCTTCTTGAAGATGGTGGTATTTTTATGCAGTGTTAGCACCTTTATAACAGGGCACCATTATCCAGCTATTCAGAGAAAATACTCCATATATTGCAACTTCATGCAGTTCTGTACATTTTCCATTCCTGTGAGCATACTTATTGAAAAAATGTTCTACAAGTAAACTGAAAATTTTCTTAGTTCACAGTGGATAATTTTTAATAGAATAGTTATAAATGTGCTTCCATAATAAGTACATTTAAGTTGTGATTACAGATATGAAAAAAGGGATTTCAAAGCAAATAATTTAAGTTTATACCATTCAGATATGAACATGTAATTAAATTGTAAAAGAAATTTTATTAAAATATTGTTTTAATTAAAACTACTTTTTCTGGCAAATTTTACAAAGTACTACAATTATATTAACGTTTTAAATTTAATTTTTTGTAAATTTGGTAAATTATTTTTCCATCGTTATTACAGTCAAAAGTCGTTAATTCGGACACCCGTAATCCGGAAGACTATAACGGACTCAAAGCTACAAATTTCTGCGCTGCGTCGTGTTGACGCGCGCGTAGACCTGTACGTCTGCCAATATGCGTGGCGCATGTGCAAATACGTTTACGAATGCGCTTAAGTATACGAACGGTATAAGGTAGCTAAAATATCTAATCCAGTTATTGCAGATGCGTTGTTCCTTATCTTCGAATGGATCCGCTATTTTTTTTGCCATACGTTAGAGCATTTTATAAAGTAAGCTTGAACTTTCGATTAGTCGAATAGAATTTGATATATTTCTAATATGTAAAGATTGCAAAGAAAATATGTTCGAAGTCATAAAAAAAGGGAATGCTGCAAAAATGGATAAAGGATATCTTGTTTTTAACCATTCCGAAATCTGTTTATCAATTTCACGCTGATCTGCGGGGGGAAAGTGCGGCGGCAATAACTGGAAGTGATTGCAGCACTATCCTTACTTCGGCAGATTTTTATTTATTGGCTATATTCCTTACTAATGTGTATTTCATCTCGATGTCTCCGATCATATCAAATATATCAATTTGATATATTAAATGACAATCATTTTGATATGATTAAATCTATCAAAGACTCTCGATGTTTTTGATTGATTAAATCAAATTCCTAGTCATTAAATTTGCTCCGATAGCGAAGAAAGTGACACAGAGGTTATTGGAAAGGAAAAATTTCGATTGACAAATTACTCGGTATTATCGACACAGCAATTATATCACTGAACTGCGGAACTTGTAACTAACAAGAAATTAGTCTGTTTATAGAATTAAAGGAAGTGTCATCACAGAAAAAACGAAGCAACTAAACACGTACATGAAGAAATATTTAATAAGTAAACAAATAAATATTAACTTCTTTTTTGAAATTTTGATACCCTTTAGATCATAATGTTCTTATTTCATAAATTACGGTTTCATATTTTCATTGATAATTTCTTAAGGCATCTTACCAGATTTAAACTGATGATCTATAATCCGGAATCTTCGAAGTTCCGACGAGTCCGGATTAACGACTTTTGACTGTACTAACACTGCTTTTGCAGAACAAGATGATTTAGTGCTTGTAGTTATGTTGAACTGGACTGTTATACATTATTGATAAAAATATAAATGCATCTTATTAAGAAACCTAAAATTCTCAACTGAATTATTTATTGTGGTGTTTTCTGAGTAAGGATGATTTTGTTCTTGTAGAAATGTCACGAAATGTGCTGAAGAGTTTGAAAATCGTTGTGTAAAGGGGTCGTTTTAGATAGGGTCATAGAAGAGTCCGGTATAGTGTAACAAATATTTATTAACAGGTTTAAGTTACACA